ATATATATTTTTTATTTTATTTTTTTTTTAATGATAACTTAATAGGTCAAAGTACCACAGCAATTTCTGCTTTTGGGTAATCCAGCAAATCCTGAGAGACCAAGCAAAAAACAAAAAACATACACACATTAGTGATAGACCGATTAATCGACCAATTAATTGGGCTGATTCTGGCATTTTGAGATAATCGGCATTAGCCGATGTCTGTGCTCATGAAGCCGATAAACAAAACATGTCTTCAGATACATCTTCCGCTGGCCTTGTTACAGTGTCTGCTGTGGAACCATGTTAGCAGTTTCGAGCCCTGTGCTATAACTCTCGTGCATCCTGCTGTAAACATACGACTGAATTTCCTGTGGAATAGAATTACATATGACTTTTCTTTGTTTTGATATCGACATTATATATCGGCCATCAGCAAGACTGCTTGCTAAATAGCAGAAATCCAGTAAAGCCAAACATCTAACATGCCAATGGCTTAATATAAAAATATTTCCAAACAGCTTTTGAGTACCCAGAGTGACACCTTTTAATGTCTTGTTTCGTTTGACCAAACTGTATTTTGGAGGAAGGAAAACAGCAAATCTTCACATTTGCCAGCAAATGTCAGTCATGAAGATAGATGCCTTTCTTTTGATTGAGTTATTGATTATTGACTAATCGTCTAAACTCTACAATCAGTCCTTAAAAAGTACTTAGCCAATCCAACATGGGAAATTCCAGTTTTACAGCAGCAACATTAATCATAAAATCATACATAAATCCTGAAATGAATGAGCTAGGTAAGAAACAAAATACAACAAAAAAATACATAACTAATAATCAGTAAAATGAAATAAAACATGTGAACAGAGACTGAATGAAAACTCGGACTCTGTTATTCTAATATATATTGAATATACACAGTATAATGATATATTATAATAGTAATATACTGTAGTGGTATTGTAAGACGCTTGGTTGTGCTCTGCTGCGTATATATTATAATTTAATTTAGTCATCAGTACAGTGAAAGCTGATGATTGTATGTAAAGCTGAAACAACTAGTTAATAATCAATTATTTGTTAGACAGAAAATTGATTGGCAACTGAATTTTGATTAATTGTTTAAGTCATTTTTAAGCACAAATGCTGAATATTAGTCTCAGCTCCATGGCAACTGAGCAAATTTAGGACCCTGTGATACAGCCAAAAGCTCCAGGAAAACTAAGGACCGGTATGTGGAACTTGCATTAAGACTGTTGAGATTGTTGGTCGGGCAAAACAAGCAATTTGAAGAGGCTTTTTTTTTACACTTTTATAGAAAATAATCAACAGCTGAATCCAAAATGAAAGCAATTGTTAAATCGACTGCAATAGGTAATTGCAGTCCAAGTAAGCAGCAGTCTGTTTTTTGGATCTGGAAGTTGGAAGCATCCACTTACCCCAGTATCTCTCCCGCTACAGTGTTAGAAAAGCTGATAAGTCACCCTTCCTCTTGCATTTCAGGTGTTACCTCATTGGCTCCTCAAGCACTGAAACAAATTGGGTGCATATGAAAATGGGTCACACAAAGTGCACGCAGCTTAGCAGTGTCCATACAAAAGAAAAGCTTTATGGATTTTGGTATGGGATTCTAATAAAGCAATAAAAGACTAACTTCATATAATCAGGTCATCATGGAGGACAAGAAGCAGCTGGAAAGCCAGAGCCCTGTCAACCCCGGGGGCTGAGATACTGGTTTTAATGGGGTTGCTGGAGGGGAGGTGCCCTTCAGTTAGTGTGGACGAGAGTAAGGGATAAATATAGCAAATATACAACAATAATACACCAATGGATAAAACGAAAAAGAGGCTGTTACTTATACGCATGTGTTATGTCCTCACCAGGCGAACAGAGGGACCTATTCCAGACGCAGCCGGCTGAAGAGGTCCGATGGCAGCACCACCTCCACCAGCTTCATCCTCAGACAGGTAGGATCAGCACGGCTCATTAACCTACCTTCAATTTAGCTGTTTGTTTAACATAGTCAATGCTGAGATCCACGAAATCAATGAAAAAACCTGTCTAAAAATCAGATTTTGAAAATAGGCTACCCTCTTAGTTGGTCTGTAACTGGCAAAATGTTATCTGTTACCACGTTAACTTTGTGGATGCATTACTTTTTAACCTAACACATCAGCTAGCATTAGAATATTATTACGCTAACAATAGCAGGCTAAAATGCTAAATGTTACAGGCTAATTAAATGTCAGCATGTTAATCCAACTGTTTAAACGTGTATGGTAACTTTAACTTAAAGCAGCAACGACAAATTTCCATTTTGTGTTGATTCTGGGGACCCCTGTGGACAAAAGCGGTAGTGTTTCTACTGCCTTGTTTCATTGATTTCAAGGGGAACATTACAGAATCTGACATGGTTGCAGGTGTTAAGAATAACATAGAAATAGCTAATCTTCCCCTATTAAATTGATGCTGTTTAATAACCAGTTAAAAACGCCTTGTAGTACATTTAACTGTAATGTTAGACCTCAGAGCATGGCTAAGCCCACCAGTACCAGAAATTTGATCACAAAGGTAGCAATATTTGCCTATTGCCATAAATCCATAACATTAACAAACATGTTTGATAAAGATTGCTTAAATGTGGTTATTTAAGAGAGTATATGTGGAAAACAAGCTGCACATTTTACAGTTGTAAAACTGGTCTTAGCTCTTTGATGGAAGAACTAATGGAGATAGCATTTAGTCTACTCGGTACGTATTGGCTGACATATAACATCATCGTATCTGTGTTTAGCTAAAATCAGCTGATAATATCGGCGTTGCAAATAATATTGGTCATGCTATAAGTACAGCTGAGGCTGACAAAGTCCAGTTTATATTGATGAATGTATGATAATATAGAGCTGAGCCTGATAAGTTGCATCTGTGTCCTAAACTCAGGCTTGGGGAGTAATGGATTACATGTAACTGAGGTCTTGTAACTGAGAGTACGAAAAAAGGATAACTGTAACCCATTACAGTTACAGAACAAAAGATGGAATCAGATTACAAAAATAAAATAGGGATTATTTAGCAGAATTCTTTTTTTATATATGCTGAGCAGAGGACACATTTTTTATGATAAAAATCTTTCCATTTCCATTTTTTTCTCAAAGGCTACATTGTGCTGTTGTCTTACTGAATACACTTACATCAGTACTTCTTATTGACATTTTTTTTATCTTGTCTTTATTTGCATATTTGGTGTTGAGGTAATCCTAAAGTAATGGAAAGTAGTCAAATTACATTACTTTAATATTATGATACTTGGATTAGGTTACTGATTACATTTTTAAAGTAACCCTCCCAGCCCTGCCTAAAATGGCTGATCTTTAGCAGATTCAGCAGGTCTTTTGAACCTGTTTCCCATTCTTATCTTGCGTTTGTATTAGTGGCCTCTAGTTTGAGCTGTCCTCACCACCAGAGGACCCTGTTCACTGTAAACTGTGACACAGCAGCAACACAACTTTTTCAATCTGCGTGATAGCACTTGAGTTACAGTATAATAAGAGACTATTTTTCTGTGAATTCCTCAAAAGGTTTCTGATGCGTGACACCAATCACCAACCAACCAATCCCTGACAGTGAATGGTGAACGCATTTGGGGATTTGTTGTTTGAAGAAAGTCTTGTTGAAATTCCTCTCTATCTTTTTGAGAGACTTGAGAAAGCGAGTGGTCTGGCACCAGTGTACCGCTGTGGTCTGACCGCAATTCTTCAAACTGTTCATTCCAAAATGTTTATTTTCACTCATAAAAGTTTGATCTTAATGTCGTGCGAAAGTTGAACAAAAAGACTAGGCATCAGACGATATGTTGACAATCTGTAGCATTTTGCCTCTGATGTAGTTTAGGGAATTAATGACCTCCATTTGTATGAGCCTGTGAATTCAAACTGCTCAGCTGCTTATGAGGCGTCTACCAGTCATGTATAATTCATAAGGACGGGGTTAAGCAGGGCTGTTTGAATGCAGTCGCTGCCGCTTCCTTTATATGTGCCACTGTAAAACAAATTCAAATGAGTTTCCTGTATTAAGTAGCCTCCTGTAATTCATAATACAGAAGGGAGTTACCCTGGACTTGGACATCCTGCTAACAAGTTACCAAGGGAACTGAGGCTGCAGAGGCCATTCAGCAACACAAGGATAGTTTGTCATTGGCTACCTTTGTCCCAAACCCACTCTCTTTATTTCACATTTTCTTTTCTCCATACCTGACCTCAAACCCCTCCATCTTCCACCATGTGTCTCTCCGAGGAGATGCAGTAACGTCAACTCAAATTGGGTCAGAGGCTTTTTTCTTGCCTGGACATGCTAACAAAAGCACATGACAACTTGTCGAATCTAATAGCCAGATGTGATTTATGATAGTGTCATGTTTTCACATCTGTGGCTGCCGCATTTTCCATTACATGTAGGTCAGTTTGTGCATGGGAGAATTTCTTGTGTGTGTGTGAGAATAGATTTAGGCCGTGCAAGACACACATATGATTGTGAAGTGTTATTCTTTGTTTGATACGAAACCTCAGCTAAACCTGTTTAGCATAGACATTGTGACTACAGATGATGATCCGTCCTCATGGATAGTACAGTCCACCAGTGAATGCACTGCACGTTCAACCTGTTGATGTCCGACCTTCATTATTGAATGCCCACTGCAAGAAAGTAATTATGTGGCTTCACAGGAAGGGGGAAAATCAAGACATCGTGGACAGAGAGAACAAAACAAACAACACAATTTAAAGAAGGAAACAAAGAAAAAAGAAGAAACAAAAAAAAAAAAAAAATAGGACAGAAGGACGGAGAAATGTACACATAAAATCACTTGCTCACGCTCACGCTCACAGATTTCTTTAACACCCCCGCTGTGATTCGTGTCATCACTGGCATGATCGTCATCAGGTGAGAAGAGGAGCAGTGGGCTCTCTTTGATTCCCTCGTGTATCCATAGTAACAACTGCCCTTCAACAACAGGGGTCAAGCGCAGAAGGTTGATTAGCAGGAAACTGCACCTCCTCCTTCTTTTCAGCAGAAAGTAGTTTTTATTTTACAGTAAATGCTCAAAGCTGAGGGGAATGTAGCCTTTAAAGTTATATCAGATTGAGATATCAGCATTTTCCTGTTCTCCAGAACATTTCAGTATCTCACTCCTTCATTTTAGACTTAAACCATTTGCAGTAAGTTCCGTTAGCTTTTGGACAGGATCTGAATTCTTTGTCCTTGTCCCAGTTCTGTGCTTTGAAGTCTTGCTTTTATGACATATATGGCAAAAGCCTGGACAGAATGGTTATTCGTGTTCTTTTGTTTATTTAACCCCTGAACTGACTTTGAGAGCAAAATGCGAAAAATCTAAAATTCCAAGGGTGTGTTACAGATGCTGAAAACTTGCTTTCTCTGTAACATTAAATATTCCTGATTAAATGAAGATAAATAAAAGCTGTAATTTGGAGAAAAAACATTCAAAGTTATTTGTCTGAAACTCAAAACCTCAGCGTGTGCTTCATCAGGACTGTGTGGGTGGGGTTTGATCAGATTTGATTGAATGTGCTGGCAACATAAGCAAACAACCCCACAACTGTCATCAGATTGTGATTCAAATATTGCTGATCTCACTTCTCCCACTCCAAACCAGTGACAAAAGCACAGACAAAAATACTAACACTGAAAATCTCTGTCTCATGTGGTAGAAAATAGTGTCTTCATGTCCACCACTCCGAGAAGAAGCTGATTGAAAAAATATGTTTTCAGGGGCTTTAAGTGGAGTTTTCCAGAGGGTGAACTCACTGCAGATTGACTCAAAGAATTAGGGTTAAGGGAGGATGAGTGTGCCAAAATGTCAGGACCGGAGTCTGTGGGATGACCTCATACAGATTAGTCCATTTAAGGGAAATGGAAGTCAAAAAGAGAAAACTATTAAAAAGAGAGGCATTTTCAAAATGAAAATTACTTTAAGTGATTGTTATACAATGTCAGTGTGTTCCCTGTATTAGGTTGATTTTGTAAGAAAAGGACAGAATGTACTCAAAGATGATATTGTTGATCAGTATGAGTCACCGCACGGTATGCTGATATTACTAGATCTGGTACGGAGAGGTGCTGGTAGAAAGCTGAATCTCCCAGATGGTGTGCGGACTGCCGAACATCTACATGGACCGCTCGCACGCACAGATGTTTCTCTGCGTGGCTGGTGAGCGGATGTTTCCGGGCCAACCTCTGAGCTCCATGATAAGAGGATGTCAAACCTCGGCAGATGTTTGCTCTCAGGAATATAATCCAGAGTGGCAGCACTAAAGTAGCACACAGGACCTTTGCTCTTCCACATTCTTTGATATGTGTGTTGGTTGAAGCTAATATACAGTACTTGCTTGTGCTGCTCATTGTTCCGATGTCCCTTTATTACAAAACCCTAGTAGTCCAGAAAATGTCCCATTGGACCGAAAGCCCATTTGTCTGAAAGCTTGTTATCTTGAAAACAAAAGCCCACTGCACCGAAGGCCTCCTCTTCCAAAAATACAAACTCTCCCTGGAGGTTTTTGCCCTTAATATATCAGTGTAAATTGACGTGTCAATGTCAGGTGATCTTTGTCAGGTGACCTTCGTCGTCCTCGTCAGGTCATCTTTGTTGTCATGTTTTGGTGACCACGCTTGGTTTATTGAAGGAACTAAAGGAGGTTTATTGAAATCTATTGGAATTCTACATTCAACAACGTAACTTGTGTTTCCCCCATTGTGTTGTGTTGTCGTCTGACTTTAGAATACCTGTCCTATGTGAGGCTCAAACCTTCATATTATGAAACCAATGCGCTACCTAAAAACAGCGTTATTTGATTGAGGCGAGTCATTTCAGTTGCAACTGTGGAGTAGTTTGATTTTTGGGATTGTCTGCCCAGAGGCAAAACTGAGCAATAACCATTCAACAATCTTAACACAA